GAGATTAAACATTTCATTCATGTAATCCTATGGTGTAAACATTCCTTTAAATTGGTAGTGCCCTACTTAAAAATAAGTTCAAAGCAGCAATAAATATTTTAGATATGTTCGGTCACTCCTACCATGAGTTATTTTCCTACAAATTCTATTCTCACTATAGAAGTGTTTGTAAAATTTTACATACTATATTTTTGTCCTAAAATTTTCTGGAATGATACCCTTTTCCACTAAACATAAAGAATCTCACATTAGTTTTACTTCTTCTAAATAATGCAGGACTGTAAGTTTAGTAATTTTACAAAGATTAGTCAATGCTTATTATCCCCCAAATAATGGTCTTTTATGTGTTCCAACAGCAAATTGAACGTGTGGTTTCAGAGTAGTTGAGGGTGGAGTAAATCCATATAGCTAATAAAACTTTTATTAATATTAAACTAAGTTTAGGAAATATTCAAGTGACTCTAAAATACATCATAATTTCATGTATACTAAGTATATTTTTTTGCCAACTAAAAGTCGTCAAGTAATTGTAATGATGCCAATTTTAATTGAATTTCAAGCCCTTGTTCCTATATATATATATTCTTTGTCTTGCTTTATATTGAAGCTTGTAAGAATTTTAGCAGTTTGAGAATTTAATCACCATAATTGACTTTTAATAGCTGGAATGCTGTTGACCCCCTCCCTAAAAAAAGAAAAATGATTAATTCCTGAATCTAAGGAAGAGAAAAGCAGCCTCTGACCTCAGGAAACTGGCCTGACCCTTACAAGGAGGCCTCAGGATCACTGGGAACTGGCCTGGGGCTCACAGCTCCGTCATGATGTTCTCCTGTTGGACATAAACAACCTCACAGAACACCAGCATCAGACAAGTCCACATGATGATGTGAGGCAAAAAAACACTATAATTTTGTCTAAGCACAGACAAAAGCAAGATCACTCTATACAACTTGCCTGAACATTAACATCCTCCTTTCCTCCTCATAGGAGTGACTGCTACTTCTCTATCAATTACAGTTTTAGCCTAGGTCTAGTCCCTAAGTTGTGTCCGACTCTGTGAACCCATGGACTGTAGCCCACCAGGCTCCTCTGTCCATGGACTTCTCCAGGTAAGAACACTGGGGTGGGTTGCCATTTCCTTCTCAAAGGGATCTTCCTGACCCAGGGATAGAAACCCACTCTCCTACACTGCAAAGTCTTTACCATCGAGCCACCAGGGAAGGTCTAGGCCTAGATAAAATTTATTAAGCCATCCAATCACAGAATTATCACCAATCCCTGACAGAGCCCAATCCAGAGCAAAGTTCGGCCTCTTTGAACCCTTCCCCAAATCACTTAACCAGAGCTCTGATCCTACAGCAAGTCCTGCTGACACCCTCTTACCTAGTCATCCCATGGCTCCTTCCCATGTCTCCCTCACAGCAGCGAGCAGTTAGCACTGCCTTCTCAACTCCAGTGGTGTTCCTGGTGGTTTTTGGCAGGAGGGTATTAATACATCCATAGCTCCCAAATTGTGACTGTTGAACTAGCAGTTAAGTAAAAATGTAAAAGACCTGTGTAACCTGTGAAGTTCTGTTTAAAAACTGATGTATCATGACTTCTAGGCTTAGAATTTTGTTCTCAGTGAAATCCTCTGAACCCACAAGTGGTTTTTAACATTCTACTTTTAAAAATATATTTGATGAATAGTTCCCTTCCTAAATATAAAACATATGTATTTTCTACTCTACTCTGCCCCTCCACTGAATAAAGATCCCATGGCTCTAAAGAGAAGTTAATTCTTCTGAAGAGTTTCCATTATGCTTGGGTAATCTTTGTTCTAGTTCAGATTTTAAATTAGCATCTAAATTAATGGTAAGTCATATCCCTGTCCTCTCAAATAGTAATTGATCAATACTTCTTAGACATTATAGTGCCAATTCTAAAAGGTAAGTAACATTTATTTTTCCTTTAGTTATTACTTTTGATGGTAGCATTTTAAACCATTGGATGTAGCAACACAAAGGGGGGGTGGTTTGGTTCCATCCATTTGTTTCACTATCTTTTAATATCCATCACTTTATTTCTGTGTGCGCCTGAGGACCTTGATATAATGGATCCTTTTATTGCCATAGTAGTGATTAGCATGAATAGATCTACATCCAGTCCCCAATTCCCTACACCAAACAGGAGATTAAATATGTATCTAGTTATCTTCTAGAACAGAATCTGCCACATCACTCTGTCTCTGACGTCTAGACATGCTGCCCTTTCTAAACTATTTTTATTTGGAAAGGAATCCAAGGTTTCCAGATAACCAGATCTTGCACGTGGAAGATGCTGGGTGCTGGTTTGTGACCGTGCCTTATGTAAACATTTTAATATCGGATCCCTAAAATCCAGAGGCTCCCCCAAAGGGGATTAAAACATAATCCCCTCTCTGTTACCGCTGTGGTGGATTAACTCTGTTCTCTCTGCGGCTGGTTTGCTCCCTGAAGGCTACAACAAAAAGACTCAGCGCTCCTTAAACATGCTATGGAATTGGAAGTTGTAATTGGAGATTTCCAAAGGACAGGGGTAAAAATGACACATTATTAAGGCTGAATATTTCATGAATGCCTTTCTTAAAGAATGACCAGTTCGAAGCCCTTTTATAACCCCCCCCCCCCCCCCGAAAAAAATACCAATTCACTAGAACGCCTTTGGAGTAAAATCAAAAGGAAACGCAGTCGCCTTTCAGAAAGGCAGAGAAACAGGTAGCCGAAACATGTTCCCCGTTAAAAGTTAAAGGAATTGTGTACTTAAAATTCATAATACCGTATATTTCGGTCAGTCAGTTTCTGTGGTTTTAATAACGGGTATCATGATTTTTCTCTTTTTTCCAATTTAATTGTTTGGATATGTTAAACTGTTTTTTAAGAGAACGAAGCAGTTCGCCATTTTTAATGTTTTTGACCATTCATCGTCTCCAAATACCAGAATATTCTATGAAACCAGAGATCAGTAGCTTTCCGTGTTTAGAATGAGGACTTTGCTGAGGGTTCATCAAGGCCCAAAGATATGTAGGAAGACAGTGTTTCCGAGGTGAATCAGGTCACCTTCTTTCTCACCTCGCCCCAGTCAAGAGTGAACCTCCCGGATTTCTCCCGAAGAGAATACGAAGAGTGGTCTCCAGACGAGCGACACGGCGGCTTAAGGGTTAAGGGAGCGGTTCGAACCGGCCGGAGCGCGGGGGCTTCGGAGGAGCGCGCGCGCAGACCCTCCAATAAACACAAAGGAGGGCCTGGGGAATAGAAACCCAAATCCACTTGTAATCGTACAAGAGATTCGGGCATAATTACTTGAGCAACCTAGATTAAGATTGATGAGCCTTTAAAGTGGCGCTTCAGATCGACCGCCTCGCCCTTTGGAAAGAAAAACCTTATGGAGCCAAGGCGGACCCCCGACTCCGCTCGGCCCCAGCGGAAGCTGCCCGCCCGAGACCTGCGCCGGCAGTCGGCGCGCCCCGGAGCCGGGCGGGCGCCCCCGGGCCGGGCGGGCTCCCCGGCTGCGGCCTCGAAGGGGCTGGGAAGCGGCACAGTGAAAGCGGGGACTCCGCGTGAGCCCGCCCCGAGCGGGCGGTCCCGACCGGGATGCCGGCTGACACCCAGTGTGCCCCACAGCCACCACCCCTCCCTTTAAACGCGACAGCCGGCCGAGTCCTCCTTGGTCCTCTTGCAGCAGAAACGCCCGGCTTTGTGCAGGACGGGGGTGGACTCGGCGTGTGCCGCTCCCTGGAATCGTGGGCCCCGCCGTCGTCCCCGTGCTCGGACGGGGACCAGGCCCGGCCTGCTCGCCGCGGTTCCGGCGGGGCGAACGGGTCTCCCCGCGAGGAGCCGCCGCGCGCGAGGGGCCCGGGCCTGAGCGGCCGCAGGGGACCTACCTTTTCATTGCTTCCCCCCTACTGTTCCTGTGACTCATTTAAGTGTGTGCTGGAGAGGGTGGGTTGGGAGTGCGGGGGGTGCGGGGATGGAAGGGAATATAATGAACCCTGGCTACAGAATAACGAATGCATTTTTTTTTCTAAGTCTATATTTTAAGTACAGACTTGAAGGGAGGGAAGAATGTCCCCGCTCTACGGGCAATCTTAAAGGGGCAGTTAAGTAACCCCTCCCCCTTTGAATTAATATTCTAGTACGTGAGATTTTTAATTTTCGATTTTAACTCAGATGGAAGGAATTCGAAGTAAGCACCTTAGTAGGCACACTTTTTAAAAATCTCTTTACTGAAGCTCAGTTTCTCTAGTCCCCAAAGTTGAGAAAGGGCACTTTGCAGATGCTTTTCTGAGAATCGTTTTGTTCAGTCGTCTTACAATTTCATAGTGTTTGGCTTATTCCAGGTGAGAAAAAAATCACTGCTACAATTTTCTTGCTTTTCTGCATAAACAACGTGTTTAACGTCCGCGTTTTGCGAGTATATCGATGTGCTGTGCACGTAGGGATCCCTTCCTGCAAAATGCAAACCCGTTAGTGCAGTGGGATTTATATATTAGACCCTATACCTCTTCACATCCTCCCGCCCATCCCGGGTGGCCACTGCTGCCCAGTGGACGGGATTTACACGTTGGCTGGTCTTTGGGGACCGTGCTGACTGTCCAGAGCGTCCCTTCGGAAGGGAAAGCCTGTGCGTGCTCAATGGAAAATCAGGGCCTTAGAGAGTCATTCTGCACTTTTAAGTTGGTTAGTGTCAGCACCCCACTAACCATGTAGGATTTCTAGGCCGAGGTTGCAAACTTGCTTACTGAGGGTCACTTATTCGATTTTGTGACCTCTTGGGTTTTTATAGAATTATTTATCTCCAGTCTGGTTTTAAGGTAATGTGTAACAACTAAGCAGACCTAGCTCACATGAAAGGAGCTTGCCGCATAATACAGACACAATTTTTTTTCAGTGCATGTTTAAAACCTGAGGTGCCTTTCCGGGAGGGAGCAGGCAAGGGGCAAAGAGGCACAGCCTGACCCCTCTGGTGCCCTCTTCTTTCAGGTCCAGTGGTTCTCAGCACTCCTGCCCAGCTCATTGCTCCTGTGGTGGTGGCCAAGGGGACGCTCTCCATCACCACGACCGAAATCTACTTCGAGGTAGACGAGGATGATCCTGCCTTCAAGAAGATCGACACAAAAGTGAGTGAAAATGATTCCGCGTGCAGTGCCGGTGGCTGTGTGGCAGGCAGGAAGTGTTTTTTCCATTTTGCTTGGTTTTAAATGACAGTGGGGGAGGGGAGCACATTCCCATCCTCACAGAAGATGAAATGAATGAAATAACACTTGCTCTATTTTATGGAATTGGAGAATATCGTAACCATCCTAAGTCCTGTTGTTACATTTTAACAGTCTCTCTGTGCTAGTGCCTTTGTGTGCACTTGGGCAGATTTGGTAGTGAAGCCAGTTGCTCCCAAGTCCCTCGGGTACAGCATCTCAGATTCTCTGGGAAGACTGGAAAAGGGCTCATGGAATTTCTTACTAAGGTCACTTTTAATTTCCAAAAGTATACATTGAAGTATGAATCACTGTTTGTTAAAAGATTGTAAGAAAACTGTGGAGGGCATTTAGATATAAATTCCTCTCCATTATTACATCCAGTTTTCATCTCCTGAAATAAGAATGAGTTTTATATGTGAATGTAAGAAGAGAAATCGATTCTCTGAGAAGCGTTGCTTTAAAATGTGTCTACATAGTACGTATTGGTGCTCAGCTGTTTAAAGATGAGGTCTTCTGTGGTTGTAGTGCCAGACAATGTATATTTGGATGATTTGAAATGCATAAATATTTGTTTATTATTTTATTTTGTAAAACTTAAAACTTGAGTATTCAGCAGCTCTATACCTCTGAAGTTTCTTCTGAAATCAATTCCATTGTTTTAACTTTTATGTTACTGTGCCATTTGTAAACATTTTTTTCCTGAGGCTTATCAATTCAAGAACATAAGTCATGCTAGATAAACAAGCATCATTTTACAAAAATCTGCCTTTAAAGTATTTTTCAGAGGCAATCGTTCTAAAATAGCAAAAGACAAATGCTCCCAAAGATCAAGGACTTTATTATTTGTGTTTAATTTATATATAGAAGTAAAACATTATAAAATGCTATTTGTGGAATAGCAATTAAAAGCCTCAAATTTACCTCCACCTGAATTAACTAACCAAGGCCCATAGGTAATTAGCCCCTCCCAGACTTGTTGACTCTTAAAATACTCTGGAGGATAGTCACAGGACTTCTTTTATTTCTAGCTCCAAAAGAACAGAATTTTGAAAATGAGTTTGAATGTAGTGCATTTGATTTTAAATCATTTAAAGTTTGTCTTTATGCTTTTATCATTGGCTTGCTCTATGAAGTAAATGGTAATTTTGGATTTCTGATTAATTTATCCTGCCAGTGGAACCCTTACTGCATAAAATAAGGTTTGACATATATTAGGTCAGAAATTACCTTCATTTTATTAGCATAGTTTTCATATACAAATTTCAAAAGTTTTATTAGGACTTTGTTAAGTTCATTTTTCTTGGAGTTTGTCTGATTTTTAACTCAGCAACCATGACTGTCATGACATATTTCATCCTTATAGTGTCAAAAATTCTACATAAATAATTAACCCAAAAGAGCAGGCTTTCAAAGGTAGATTTAAATTGTTTCTGTTGTCGAATGGAATAGTCTTATAAGTAAGTCAGAAGCTAACAGATCATTATATTATGTAACTATACAAAAAGAGCTTTTTGCCAATATTTTAAGGTTTTATTTTAAGTTATTTCATTAGCATATTTCTCAAAATGTTTAAAATATTCAAGTGGTTCAGTTTTCAAATTGAAGCATTACATCTTTTGACAGGAAAACGATTTAGAGTGAGACACAACAAGTTTTATTTTACTTCATTTATTAGCTTCTAATTAAATAAAAACCAGCAACAGAAATTAAAATCTAAATCACAAAAGTAATTATCCAGTGTATTTCAAGTGCATTTTTCAAATATATAATTCAGATATTCAAGCGTTATTATATAAGCTGAATTCAAATTTCTTTGAATATATTTAAATAACATTTCAAGTATATTTATGGAATGTTAGAAATAGAACAAGCAATATATTTGAAACAAAATGTAAACTTTTTAAAGTTCAGACACTTTTAAAGACAGATAAAAGTACCAGGAGGAAATCTACCTTTAAATTATATCTTTGTTAGTGGAAAATGTTTGGAAGTATCCAAAATGCCAATTTAACTTTTGTTCACCAAATCACAAAACACCAACATCCACACTTTCAAAGACAATGTGAGATCACAATATTTGTTACAAATCAAAATATACATTACACTTTCCTTCAGATGGCATATCCAAATCATGTTTACTCACAGCCAAGATTGCTATAATCCTCTGATAGTTAGGCAGCCTTCACTGCGGTCTTGCGTTACAGCCAGGCTGTTTTCCGGGTGTTCCTGTGTACTTTTCAAGGGCGATAGGAAATCCTTTGTAAAGAAGTCTTCTAATACTTGTGGGTTTGGGGTGTTCTCCATCTGCTCTCCCTACTCCTTTTCTCCCCTTGGAGGGGTGGGTGAGATGATGCCTTAAGCGGTTGAGTTAGCACTCCTTTTGAAGGAAGAGATTGTTTGCACTGCCGAGTGGAATATTAGATAAGAATCGAACAGGAAGTTTACACTGCATGAGAACTTTTAAGGATGAAGAGTATAATCACATTTCGGCTCTCGATTAAAATTGTCCTCTAAAGTTTCTCCAAACTTTTCGGGTTGGTCAGGATCTCCCTCGCCAGTCGCCACGTTTGTTTGGCAGCGTTCTCTAGAGCCGAGTGAGGTTTGCCCTGAAACAGATCTAAGTTCGGTAGGAAGTAGTGAGGACATCGCCGGCACTGCAGGCAGGAGATGAGTTGCAGCAGAATCCCGTTCAGCCTGTCACCCAGGCAGGACTCGTCCCAGTCCGACTCCCGGGGATGCTTCTCGCACTCGTAGGAAACCAGAGTCTTCATGTGGTAGTTGTTGAGGGGCTGGCCCGGCAGTTCCAGGTGACGATCCCGCAAGGTTTTGAGGATGGAGAGGCATTTCTTCCTGCAGCCCCCCATCTGCAGTCTGTTCTCCGCTTCCGCGAACTGCAGCACCCAGGCGTCGCTCTCGGCCGAGCTCTGCTTGCCGGCCAGGGAGTGGCACTCCTTGGACAAGAGATTGAACCCTTCCGCTTTGACCTCCGCCACCCGGTTGGGTCCCGGCCAGGGGATGTGGGGAAGTGGCCAGTGGGCAGCACTCCTGGGCCAGATCCCGGTGCATTTAAAAGCCGGGGTGATCTGCACCACGTACCTGTCTCGGATCCTCAGTTTCACTTCGCTCGTGTCCGCCACCATCTTTACCACATCCCTGTAACTACACTTGTCTACCGCCTGAGCCACCAGCGTCTGAAACCTGGACCGGATTTTGCGCGCCGAGAGGTAGCCGGAGGCAGTAATGAATTCCACCCAGAGGGACATGCTCCTCTTGCGGCCGTCGCTCAACTTGAGCACGGCGCAGCCGGGCAGCGAGCCGTCGTCCACAAAGTTGAACACCCCCATCTGGTTGAGGTAAAGCACCACTTCGAATTCGGTGGGAGAGATGACCTCAAGGCCCTCGTAGCGATTGTCCATCTCGTTGAGAGAGCTGATGAACCGGGGCTCCTGCACCTCCACCTCCTTCAGGACGTCGGAAACGACTTTGCAGACTTCCCGGATAGTTTTGGCAATGGCAGCTTTCCTGGCTTGGCATTTTTCGTTGTAGTATTTATTCAGATGGTAAACCAGCTTGGCCTGGGCCGCTATCATGTTGGGGCAGAGATCCGGGTTGTACACCGGAGTCTCGCAGTAAGCTGTGGGATCCAACGCGGCTGCTAGAGCTGGAGCCAACTTCGGTGGAGAAACGGGCCGCGGCGCTCGGAACTGTCCCAGAAGCGTCTCTCCGAAGTGCGGCGGCGGCCGGGGAATCCCTCGCGCCGTTCTCCCCTGCTTTTTATCTTTGAGCCCTGCCGGCCTTAAAGTGAAAGGTTGTTCTCCCCCCCACCCCTCCTCTCTCTCTCTCTCCGTCTCTCTTCCTCTTTTAAAGAATCCCTCCTTGTGTGAGAGAAGCGCCTGCAGAGATCACCTCCTCAGTTATAAGAACAAAAGTTGCGGCGAGACCCAGCACAGCTCTTCCAGTGGTCAAAGTAATCAACCCTTTCCCTATTTATTTACGCTTGCCCGTGATCATGGTGTGTGCCGGGCTGGGAATCGGGTGGAGGAGAAGTGTGCTGAGTGTGCGTCGGGGGTGAGTGTGCGTCTGTGTATATGTCAGAAGAAGCTGCTGTTGGTTTGTCTTAAGAGCCCAGATGCACTCGTGTGGAAATTATAAAGGCAGGGCCAGGCAGGCTGGCGGCCAATCGCCACTGGGCTCGTCACGACAGCCTCCGTCAGCTCCAGCCCGGCTAATTAATCCCCCCTCTTGGATATAGGCACACAAACTAAAGGTAGGAGGCTGCTGCTGGGCAGAAAACCACCCAGGCCACCTAGACAGTTTTGGAAATCAGGAGGAATCTCTCAGCTTTGGTATTAATTGAAGCATATTGACGTCTTGAAAAGACTTGGCAAAGTGGTTCTCTTCTGTGCTGAAAAACCCTGCTTGTCTTTTTAACCGACGAAATGCAAATACAGGTGTACTAATGGTCATCCATCAATTGGTGAATTAGATGGGGTTTTCTGAAACAAAAGTCACTAACTTGCATTTAGAGTGAGATAATTAACGCCTGTTAATCCTGGAGGTCTTTTTGAATGCAGGCTGGGAGTTTGCTCTTCAGTATATATGCAGGCTGGTTTTGGATGGACTGATACCAGTGTAATTTTCTGGATGTTCCCATAGTAGAATGATTTTTTTTTAAATGTTATGCAGTGTTTTACCTATGTTTTTCTCCTCATTTGCAGTTGTTGAAAGGAATCTGAAAATGATTGCTGTCAGATGTTGTCTACTCCAGTTTAAGCTGGGATGTTTAAAAAATGTTTAGTCCACCCCTCCCCCCCATCTGCAGTCGTCTTTGTACTTTGGTAGACTTGCCCAACATTATGACCAAGACACTAACTTTTTGTATGCACTGGCAGACGTATCTGTGAAATAAAACTCTCTCTGAG